CGGCTTTAAACTCGCTACTGAGCATGTCTTGATCATTGTCATTGGTGAATACGGAACGCACGGATGAAATAGCCTATCGTGAAGTCAAAGCGTTTAAATCCGCAAGCAGATCGGTACCTTGCTGGAGATAGCGTCATTTGTTTGGGCGGGAGCCTAAAAGAAAGCAGGTTCATTCCAGGTTAAAGACATGGCGAAGCCATATGTTAATCAGTTAGGCAGAGCGCGAAAGGGCAAGACGCAAGACTACCGCCTCAACAAAATCCATTATCCAAGGGGAGAATACAGGAGGGTCAGATAGGTTACGCCAAAATCTAACGACCGACTACTAAATCCGAGATCTGGTTTCTCCTCTTTTTCCCTCTAACGATTGAATAAGGTTTCAAACAAAATTGAATCTAGTTATGAACTAGTGCTGTTCGAGAACGGGAAATCTTTCACCCTCTAGACGGTATCCTTGACAGAGTCTTTGGTCCGCCGGTGTCTTTTGGTAGGCTAAATCTATCAAGGAAAGGTGGACACTCCTGTTGTTGGGGATTGACAAAGACAAGCCAGCGAAAGAGGATTGGAGCACTCAAACTTGACTTGACAAGGCCATTGCCGTATCTTGAAGCCCATGAAAAAAGAAAGCGAATAGTTGGTCTTCTCTTTCTCTATGGGGGTAACTTAATCAGCTGTAGACGAACTTGATGTTATAGCCAGGCTGTTGTGATTTGGATAAGGCGAGATGATTCTTAAAACCATTGCGGCGCATGAGTGAGTACCTCTACTCAGATTGAAAATTAGTATAATGCCAATCCTGTCTCTTAACACATTCGTTTGGTAAATGTTGCTGATATGTTGCCAGCTTGAAACGAGACTTCAATGAAGGAGTTTGAGAAGGCAGAATTGACTGTTTGCTAAAATTAGATAAAGGATAGAGGAGAGGTATACAGAAAAACAGCAATCATTGTGTTAGAGTAACTTTATAGTGCCTGATCTTTGGCTACCGGTTCTCTGTATGCGTCTGACTTAATCATATAGGCTGGAACTTTACCTTAGATAATTATATAGGCCGTTGGTTGCTGCGTGAGGCGTGTTTATGAGAGTGGTATTTCGGGTTGACAGGCCAGACAGCTGATGCTTGCATAGCGCACCTCCCTCGTTGGTCGAGAAACAGTAATGGCAACTATATTGCTGCCTCAATACGCGAAGGTCTCAACCATTTTTAAAGATGCATATGATCTAGGTTTGCTGGCGGCATGGATGAGAAGTTTTGGTTCGATGAATGCGAATGCTGTGGACAAAGCGTTTGATTCTCTTGGACTCCCAGGCGGCCATTCAGGGAAGCGAATGAAATACAAACAGAGCATGCTATTCTAGAGATACATCGTTGGCATTGAGGACTTTTCAGCTTCTGTGGCAAAGATAGCACTTCATCGAGCAAACAGTGAAGTTCTTTGCTCAAGATACCTCGGTTAAGTGACTTTGGCAAAGCAATGATCACCATCAGCCCATCACGCACGACTTCTGATTGTTATCAATAAAAGGATTAGCCTGATATTATCCCTAGCTCGCATAATACATCTGTAAGATCATGCTAATCGTGGGAACTGATGCTAATCGTGGGAACTGATGTTGCTGTATCGGTCCTGTCCATAACAAACTGCAGTGAGCGGTACGCAAACTTAACCGCGCCTTTCCCATTGGTGATCTGGACTAATGTCTCCACGAACGCAACTTTGCCTATCGATAAAAACTGATGTCACGTTTCTCCGTTTTCTCTCTTGGCGAAAATGTCCTGGTCAGCTGTTTCAGGTCCAGTGTTGTTGACTTAAGGCTCGTCGGCCGTTTGATGCGAGGAGCCGCCTAACCCTTGCACTCGGAGCAAGAATACGGATGGCTTGACGAAGATTAGGCGTACCCTTCCCCGATACCCTTGTTAGCCTTCTCAGATTCTCGGACGATGTGAGCGAAAAAGAATACTGTGTTAGGCGCCGCTTCCCCAGAAATCATGCACCAGCCCCCAAGTCAAAGCGTTAGAGTGGCGAGATTGTCGGTGTAACGCCGAAAGAAGCATAACCTCTGTTGGTCGAGCCAATATTTGGGGCTTCGTGACACTGGAGATGAAGCCTAAAAGCAGCACAGTCCATGTCTTGAATCAGGCTGACTGACTTGGTTCCACTACACAGCAGTCAAGGAAAACATGAAGGGCTGTGTCTGGTCCGTGGTGATTTAAGGCTACAATCGACTCCACTATACCACGTAGCACAGCAGTCAATAATTCTCGCCAAGCAATATCCTTGGTACGCAAATCGCACGGCCCACGGACAAACAGCGACTCACGGACTGCGTCCAGACAGTCAATCGCAGATCGATGCTATCAACTCGAATGTCATGACATTGGATCAGAACATGTTGTTGATCCTCAACGTCGACACTTGCTGTGCCTTTCGCTAGTGGGGAGAAAAGTCTTTGTTCCGTAGTGGGTGGTGTTGTCGATCTCGTATCCGCCTAGGAACCAGGAACGGGCCGCAAAGGTGCCGATGGGGCGGAGGTAGACTAGACTACAGGGGACTCAACGACAAGGATGATGTTTATTACAACCAACACTCAAAACTGAAGCGTGGTAAACTCTCTCAGAACACGGGACCGGGAACTTTTGCCTTGGATCAGGATCGTATGGACAAGGCAGTTGTTGGTGATAGGCCCACGATGACATTGACCTCCATAATGAGCCATAGTGACTCATGGTCCTATTGGCGGAGCATTTCCAAGCATTTACAGGGGACAACCAACAGCATAAACTAGTGATGCGATTTACCTAATAACCAACAACCAACAGCACAAGAACAACAGGGTCCCATTAGAAACACCCGACTCGTGCAGAATTCCCCGTGGTCCGAGGCTCTTGCGGTCGAATTGATTTAGCCAGAAACAGACAAGAGCCGAGCGAGTCAGGGGAATGAGGCTCTCAACATACTATATCTTACTAGTTAACATAGCTTCTCGGCTCCACATGAAAGCAAATTCTGTTGTGAGAATGCTAAGTCCCACTTGAAACGATAAGGTTTCCACCTTGCCACAGTCTAGGGCTGTATCTGTGGCCCGATGACATGGCAACTGACCAGCCATCCAAGACCTTGCACCGCGCGCTCAAGTGCGCTTTGGATATGCTTCTCCACGGTGTAGATCATGGGGCGTTGTCTTGCCATTGGCTTCCTTGTCTTCCACAAGCCTTACTGTGTTACACTGATGTAAAGTTACAGGGTTTGAGTTATACGAACACCGAAAATCGACTCACGGTCCGTCGGGCATCATGATATCAATGGATACATGATTGGAGCGGAACATCGTCCCCTAGAGTATGTATCCAAGATTCTTCGGAGCTTTCCTATTATGGAAGTGCGAGTGCTGATATAGAGAAATTCTTGAAAAGGTCGAGTCCACAGATGGGTATAAGAAGCCAAGTATGTCCAGAGTAATCTCTCTCACTTCACTATCCACTCAAACACAACCATCACCACAAAGTCAAACTCCTCTCTTATTCACCATGAAGTTCACAACTACTCTCTTCAGCCTCTTCGCCTCTCAGGCCCTCGCCGTCAACATGTACTCGGCCCCCAACGCCGAGAAGGAGTGCGGTGCCCTCGGCGTCGCAAAATGGGATCTCGATGCCCTTCCCGCCGGCACTGACGTCTCTGAGCTCCGCAAATGCAAAGAGCATCCCCTCTCGCTCAAGATCCACAGCCGCAACCCGGACGCTACCAAGGTCAACGTCCTTCAGAAGAGAAAGTGCACTTCATCCAAAGGCAAGCCCAGAGTTGGCTGCGACAAGCATTGGTGCTGGCAGAACTGCGGCAGTGCCAAGGAGGTCGAATGGGGTGCGTGGTGCTGGTCTGCCCATAAAGATGGAACTGGCGATTGGATGGCCTGTAACAGTGCCAGTGACTGTCCTGGTGAAGACAAGTACTGCGCTAAGGGTGACTGCAACCAGTGTGGTTGCGGCTGCTAAGCTCTCAACACCTTCACGATGAGTTGTTCTCATATTGAAACACGTCTACTTACTAGAGTACTTCTTGGAGGACATTCATGAGCTCGTATATGGGACAAAACTTGAAATATGTATAGCCTAGCCGGCTGAAACTTTATATCCTGATAAAAGGCCATCACTCTTTAGTTACAGAAATACACGGGGATTGCTTTTTGGGGCTCTATATTATCACTTTATTACGAAACTTGGGAGGGTTACCTGACTCTAATTCAGTGCAAAAGCTTTAGTCTCATGGCACGCAGCGTTCATGATGGTTTTCATTGATATGGAGCAACACAGAGGCTGCATATTTCAGAAAGGTCATGAAGTAAAGGATCCTCGATCAAGATATATGATACAATATGAAGTGTTACTGAGCCTTAGCAGCATGTCCAGTCTCGAGTCTTGTCGATATGTGCGGCCATATTGTAAAGTCCAGTCATACGAAATGAAAACTTGCTACATTCCTTCTTTTAGCCCTTTCTATATACTTTAACCATACCAGCGAAAAGGTCTACATAGCATTGAAGAAATGAGTGCAAACCACGAGGTCACGAGGCCATAAAGTTTCAGCCGCTGACGAAGCAAACAACATCTGGCCATGAAGGCGTAGCTACGTAGCAGATTGCTGGTCATAAGGTTAAGCTTCACCGAGCTAACACATGACGAGAACACATGTTGGCTTTCACAATATAAGCTTCTTACCAGAAAGCCTCCATGACATGTCACGGGGAATTTTGGTGAATGTTCAAAAAGTAAATTACAAAGAGATGACAAGGTGAATCCATTGTTGGCATGTGGCTTGTCGAGAACTCGGTAGCCAGGGGCGGTTCTTGACGACTTCCATGTATCGAGGCAAGAGAAAACTTCTATCCTTCGCTTGGAACCGACGTCTTGGATATGAAGCACATACAGGTAGGTTTCATACACGATCTTTGCCATTGGTTGAACATGTACATGTGATGCTATTATTTCTATTCTATACAGAGCCTTAGGCTGTTTTTCGCTCATCATATTCCCCATATTGCCACCGTTTATGGTTTTCTTCCGCCCACCATCTCGCTATGAAAGCCCCCTCTTCAACCCATTGCGCAACGTCATTGCCAAACCTCCGTGAAACAACATCTGTGAAAGAAGTAAAGTCGAAACTCTGCACAGAGTCGTGCTCCATGGGATCTTCATCCACGTTGCTCAATCGCCATTCGACATTGTCGATGAGAGGAATGGCAAGGTGGCGCTCTGGGTGACGGGCATCTCGGGCAGTTACTACAGCGCGACCTGGATTTACCACGACGAACTGCCAGTTCCCTTGGCCGGTTGTCTCGTTCTTTGTGAGAAGAGGTCGAATGAGGGATTGGCCTTCGTAATTGCGGACGAGGTCGGAAGCCACTTGTCGGCTGGCGTTGTTTAGGGAACCTGTCTCGAGGAGAAGATCGAGGATGGTTGGTAAGATTTGGGAGGAATGAACGGCATCGTGGATGTCGAAAGCGGGCAGGAGAGGATGAGATAGGACGAGAGGAACGTGGTCGATGCCGATGCTAGGGTTGTAGTAGGGCGACACGGCGCCGTTCTCAGGCATCGAGATTCCGTGGTCGCCGACGAAGACAATGAGGGTCTCATTGGCGACACCCTGCTCGTCTAGTAGATCCAAGATCTTGCGTAGCCATCGATCATCATAGCCTTCCGTATTGAGATAATGCGAAAGCATATCATGGCCATTAGCAAGTGGGACGTACTCCTCTCCCTCGGGCAGCTTGTAGGCGTGGTGACTTGTCGATGTGATGTGCGACAAGAAGACTCGCTCATCCTTCTCCTTGGCCTGGACAAACACGTCACGGAAGTAATCCTCCAAGGGGTCCTCTTCAAAGGCAAAGCCGTTGATTCGTGGTAGTGTTACCGGCCCGTGTGTCGCATTCTCAGATCGTAGCCACTCAAGTCCGATGAGATGCTCCTCCGGAAAGCCAGTTGCCTCCATCAACTCTTGCTGATTGTTATATCCCAAAGTCGCAGCTGAGTAGAAGTATGACTGCCACTTGAAGTCGTTGAAGGGGCGCGACCCGGCGTCGGTAGTGTTGGACACTTGGTTCAGAGCTTCGAAGATATTGGCCAAGCAAGGCTGGTAGATATGGTGCGCGTAGTCGAGATTGAAGTCCGCGAGCAATGGGCCGATACCGCATAAGGTACCGACCAAGCTCTTAAAAGTAAAGGTGCCGGTGGTATGGGCATTGGTGAAGTGAACGCCGCCACGCTTGGGCTTGGACCCTTGGTGGTCGAAGCCATCGTCGTAGTCGCCTGTAATGTAATTGGCGGTAGGAGTAAGATTGGCCAATTTCTCATGAGCCTCTTGAGGAATCTTGTTGTCGGGGAATGTTGATGCCAAAAGCTTCCAAATGTTTCCATCCTTCTTAATTGGGAAAACGTCATTTCGTGTGCTTTCGAGGAAGCACAGAATGACATGTCGGATGGGAACGTCTTGCAGCTTGTCCTTCAGTGTGGGAACAATGTCTTGTCCGAGATTCGAAATCTTCAATGGGTCGACATCAGCATTGTAATGCGGGCGCTTCCAGTGCCAATCCTCGAAGCCGGCCAACACTTGATCATTGGGAAGCCAATCAAATGGCTCGGCCGTTGCGAGCGCAGTGACATTGTCCCAGCTGTGCTGGATGCCAGTGCCGAAAACACTAGGCAAGTCTTGCAATGTCGGTCCCGAGGAAAAGTCCACGAATGGCGACAGTGCTGCGGTGTAAGAGAGAAATATGAGGGATCGGTCGGAGGGTCGTGCGACGGCCGCGTAGACGAGCGTGAGCAAGAAGATGGCCGCCAAAGCGAATGGCACGGATCTCAAAGCAGTTCTGAGTCGGAATTGGAACGGGCTCAAGTGCTGGGTCTTTTGTTCTTGGAGGTCGTCGTCGGAACTTTCGTCATCGAAGGAATCAGCCTGGCCCTCGAGATCGGCTTTCGGTAGAGGAGCATAGCGATTGTGGCGGGGAAGAATGCGACGAAGGAATTGCCAAGCATTGGCGATCGATCGATGTATAACCTCAGCGACGTAGCCATGGATGTTGTAGCAAGGTGTCTTGAGGAGCCAGCTCAATAAGATGTTGGCGCAGAGGACACTTGTAAATGCGACGCTGCCCGACAGCATCAACGATTTGGAGGAGGGGTCGTTTGGCAGAGAGATGTTGCTATAATGTATTTCGGAGCCGGCGACGAGGTAGAAGGATATCGAGACCACACTAAGCAACGCGTTGATGAACATGAATATCGCGGTGAAGACGAGGACAGCGATTTGCGACCGCGTGGGTAGGCCCGTGGACCATTGGTCAAGGAGAAGTCGAATGAGGGTGAGGAGGACGACATCTTGTGTAACGAACGAATAGCCCCAACGATGTAATAGATTTTGGTGCACGGCATTGATGTGTGCGTAAATGTGTATTATCTTGGCACCCCAAACTGCGAGGGCTGTGAAGGTGAAGAAGAATTGGCGGTTGGGTACTCGTTTTAGCAGAGCGCGTGCGAGCGCCAAGGCCGCCTGAGACGGTGTCGTATTCTGCATCATTGGATGAATGGTTTGTCTGAAAAGAGAGGAAGAAGGAAAGAATTACACGCTTTAGAAAAAGAAAATGCCACGTTATTGAGCCTCCAAATAAGCTCTCAAAGAATAAAGTCTGTTTTTACAGAAAAGCATCGCATGGCAAAAAGATACAACAGCAACGGCAAAAGCTTGAAACAGAGTGCGCCCAGCTGGGACTACGGGCAAGACCGTTATTAAGGGGTTTTTCTCACTGCCCTACTGCCTGAAGTGCCTGTACCTTTATTTACTGCATGTGGAGGGAGCCTCAGCCTCAGCCCTTTTGCCCTTTTGGGGGGTCAGCGCTGACATTTTGCATGTTACCTGGCTCCAATCAGGGCACCCGTCGGTAATCAAAATAGTTACAACGGGGCACTGAAAAGGAGATGACTCGTGTGACTTTGGCTTTTTGGGGCGGCTGGCCCCGGATCTTCGGCTGAGGGTGCCGTTGTCTGCGTCGAGACGAAGATGGTGCTCGGCGGCGTCAATCTAGCCCAAACATTGAGTTTAAGGGATACAGTCTGTACTTTCCATAAATTGCATTCATCACGGCAATCAACATGGCGACATTAATGGAGATCAGATTCACCATTGACCGACAAGTTGCACATAGAAATTCGACGTTTGAAATGGTCGTCAGAGACCCATATGTCAGATTTCACAGATTTCAGAAGATGGATCCCCAAAACCAGGGGCCATTCCAGGGCCGGGCTCGCTAACGGTAACAGATTTGATTGGCCCTCGCCTCTAATTTCCTCTAAAGCTTAGCTGTAAGGGGCAAAGGGGTTCGGTAACACGGTCCAGAATGCACAATGGCATCCATCGCTTTCCAGCTCCTTCACAGCTGTTGTTGTGGACAGCTTTGCAAACCGCCTGAAGCAACCCACGAAAACATCATGATGTTTTTGGGGGTAAGTATCCGCAGCCAACATTCAGTAGCTGAAACGGGTATGCGCCGAATTGCATGTTGGTAGTCAGGCAGGCAGGTAATACGAGGCACAGTCACTGACAACTGTTTGTGTCCTGTGCATTCATCGCTGCATTTGTCGTTTTACGGGCCAGCCAGTGAGTGAGTCCAAACACACAGCCCCAATTATCGCCAATCAATGTGGAGTGAATGGTGCTGATCTGTGCCCCCTTGTGCAGGGAAAACAGCCGGGCTAGTCGCGTGTTAAATTTGGAGGGGCTTGGTCCAGGCTCATGTCCTGCTTCTGATTGGCATGTGTTGTCATCTTCAAAGGGGAGAGGAAAAGTCTAGAAGAGCAGTCATTCTGCCTTGGCTGGCATCACTCTGCCACCCTCTTCAGCCCTACCTCCCGTCGCAAGTCATTTCTGTTGATCGAATTGTAATTGTGATCTTGTAATTTGGCTTCGCATTTGTCGCGTCGGGCATTTTCTCAATCAGCAATCGCGTGAATCCAAGAACATCTAACCTGGCCCAAGTGCGCCATGCCCAGGCCGTCAATTTTCGCATTTCCGCTGCAATTCACTTTGGCCCCCAAACCAAACAGAAGGATTTGGCTACCAACCTGATAGCCGGAGGATTCAATGCAAAATAGGGTAGAGTCTGGGGCTAGGCGCCCGAAGGATGCGGGACATCCACCACCATATCACATCAGCCGTGAAAAAAAGAACTCACAGCCACGAAACATGCATCCACGAAACACTATTGAGCATGTCACTCCAACGCTTATTCGACAAGATATATTGTAAGATTTAGGATTCAATGCTAAAGCTGGAGAGACATTTGGGAGGACCAATCAATATCGTCTAAACTGGCAGCTTTTGCGTCATTTTTAAGAACCCAGCATAGGGTAGGCCCTGGCTCGATACGATTGGTACGCATCGTGACGAATAAATCTCCCCGCGGAGCCCGAAAACAGTGGTCGGTCAATGAATTCGCCTGTAATGTGTGGAATAATAATAGGGCCAGAGCTTAAAGGTTTGAGAGTATTGTTTAACTACCCTTGCCTGCGTGTCAATATTTCGCTATCAACCAAAACTCTATGCAATTCCTAGACCCGCGGCCTCCCGAACTTTGCCTTTGATGTTAGACACGCACCATGCTTAGAAGAATTTACATATAACGCGAGACGAGATTAAGTTCTCAATTGTAAACTCTTTTGGCACGTGGTATTTCTTCTGGTTCATATTGACGCTGTTCTGAACTTTCATCTTCTCATGACGACGGCGATTGTGACGAGACCACGTGTAGGTAACTGATCATCTTGACTTGAATCGCCATCCCGTGAGAGACAGAGAATGATGTAAACTTAGATCATGGCTACTGCATCATGCTTGCTTATTCTTTTCCCTAGCAGAAGCAGATGTACAGCTTTGCTTGTGCCGAGTTCCTTCAAAGCATAAGACGCCGACAAGCCAGCCAACTTCGTTTCATTTCGATGCCAGATTTGGCCGCTTAATAGCTGTTGGTAGATAGGCATTTTCGAGACTCGTTTGAGCCATATGCACAAGTACAGCTACACCGTAGTCCATCAGAAGTCAGCCATTGAAAGCCTGTTAAGCAACGACAAGGAATTTTCTCTTACACTCTTCTTCTCGAAGATGGATAGAAACGTAACAGCAACATCACTTGCAAAAAAGCTAGTATTTTCCTATTTCACAGTACAGGTGCCTCAGGAAACGTAGGCGTGGTTGAGAGTTGAAGCTAGCCGATGGCAGGGCCCTATCTTGTAGGTATATTGCCATGTTCAGCTCCATATCCTTGAAGAAATAATACCTGACCGATTGAGACAATCAGAGTGCACCTCTCAAAGAATGACATCAAGATTATCGTATAAGCTCCGTTGGTCGAGGTTGCCGGATTATTTGCACGTAAACACCATAAAATGCAGTTCGCGGACCCGGTGTCCCTTTCGCGATATCGCACAGCCGCCAAAGGCCAAGGGGACTTCATGGCTCAATTAAATGTCTGACTTGTTGAAACTAGGTATATCTAAGTCTCCTCATTAAAATGATGCAAAAGGACAATGCTTCAATACCAGAAATGCCAAGCATTCATGACGACAAAAAGTAAACAACCAACAAACATCACGGAATAATACTCGGCGCGGTTCGGGCTTTAGCCGGACCCCGCGAAATGCAATAGCAACATGTCAGCATGGCTAACTTCGATGCACCTCATCTCTCCACCAGGCGGCCATGGACTTCCAGACAGATCAACTGCCTATATCTTTTGATATTTATACGACGTAAGAATATATGTCAACTCTTTGGATTCTGTTCACAAGCTGACAATTGAGATAGATCCACCAAGCCAAAGCTGACTCGCACGAGTACAAGCAAAGTCAGAACAGGTTGTGTCACCTGCAAAAAGCGTCATGTCAAATGTGATGAAGCAAAGCCTCACTGCCGAAACTGTGTGAGGAATAACCGGCAATGTGAAGGTTACGCCATCCCGGACAGAAAGCGGAATAAGGGGCCAGGCCAGTTTCAATGGGATTCGAAACGTGTCACCTGGACAGCTCCCTTGAAAACGCAGCTCCATCTCGTTCAAGATTCTCTCGACTTCAGAGACGCTCAGACTGTCCTTTATTTTGATGAGTTTATACAAGTTGTGCAGAGCCCGTGGATCTCAGCTGGGTTCAACAGCGATCTATGGTCCGTGACGCTACCCCAGGTTGCACGCACCAACGACATTGTACGGCATGCCGCGATAGCAATTGGCGCATTGAGCAAATGGCTCGCCAAATTGGAATATGATTCACTTGGTTCGTTGTTGTCGGCGGATAATGAAGCTGCGCAGGAGGATCCGGACTATCTGAACGCGGTATCGCACTACTGCCATGCGCTCAAACTACAGAGCCAACAGTTTTCTATACACGACGCCGTATTCCTTTCAGTTCTGTTTCTATGCTTCGAGACATTACGGGGGAATAGAAAAGCTGCGCTGGATCACATCAACCATGGATTAGCAATGTTGCTTGCGCTCTTGACTGATGAAGATTCTTCGTTGATGAAGTCCGTCGCTCCAAATCCAAAACCGCTCATCGCCGTGGTAGCAGATATCTTCTCCCAGCTACTCCCGCAAACAAGACTCATCCTACGTGGGAACATCGGCCGTAGCCCCGCTGTACCGAACTTCACCAAGGGCCTACGCGCCAAGAAGCATACAGTCGAGTCTTTCATGTCCCTGGTAAACCAGATTCCTCGAGATTACCCACCGACTGAAAAGCTACCGCCTGTTCTTGACAGCCTGGATGACTTTGAGAAATATTGGCTTACCGGCCGGAATGCCAAACTTGCTGTGGTTCCCCTCCTCATGGAGGCTGTTCAGAACACTGGTGTATTAGTCTCATCGGATCCTGATATTATTTCCAGAGTTTGGAGGGAGATCACGGCTGATCCACGTATCAAAGAAATATGTGAAGCCTCCACGAAGGAATTAAGGGCCCTGGAAGCTGCATTCATGCCTCTCTTCAACCGTGCAATTATGTCAGATGCGAAATCAACGGACTACATCAGAGCTGTTCATCTTCGCTTGCATTATCTCGGCACATGCACCTTCGATGATCTCACGCATTTCTATGACGTTGAGCCCATTCAGGCCAAGACTCCCCTGTTTCGCGAGTACCTCTCCCTAGCCGAGATCAGTATCCGAATCGCGAAGCGAGATTTGAAGAACCCGGCGCAGCAGCTTTCACTACAATGCAACATGGCATCGCATCTATTTCTCATCGCATTGTTTTGTCGCGATGCTCTTCTTCGCGATGAAGCGACATGGTTGCTAAAAGACTACCCTGGCCAAGACGGGATCTGGAACGCCCGTTCGCTGTACCTACTAGCTCACAGGAACAAGGTCGTGGAGAGGATAAATGCATCTGAAGGTACACCCATAGAGCAATGGCACAGGCTACTGCGCAGGGAGTACCTTTTTGAAGAAGGAGGTGACCGTGTTATTTTCTGCTATCTGGAAAAGGATGAGACTACAGGGGAGTGGCGGCTTGTGGAGGAGACGGCCGTAG